TTTACATATGTATGTGTTAAATATATTTGTTTATTAATATTCTTTATAATTAATAATATAATTTAATTAAATTATATTTTTTTCAATAAATATATAATATTTATATAAATAATTAATAATATTTGTAATGAATAATTACAATAATTAATTTGAACAAAATTTATTGAATATTTTTAAATTTAATTGTAAAAAAAGTTCAAAATCATTTAAATAAAATATAGAACTATATTCTACGTTTCATTTAATTATTACAAAAAATTCTTCTAACGAAAATATTTATTGGTCTTATTATATAACTTGAACGTGTTGCTTATTATAAAATTGAATATTATAAAATTGTTCTGAAATTCTTCTACTATATCTCCAAAAATAATTCAATTATAAAATTAATTATATATAATATATATTATTATATATATAATTATATATTATATTTAATGTTGAAATGAAACTTAATAGTTATTAGTGTTTTAATAATTATAAATTAATTTTTTTAATACACATTAAAAAATTGACATATTTTATTAATCAGCTTACGAAGGAACTTTTATGAAATTCTAAGATCAGATATGAATAAAATGAAGAAATCAATTGCAACTCAATTATGCTAAAAAATTCTGAATCATACGTGTCTATATAAATCTATTTATACATATTCTAGTGTATATCTACTATATATCATAAATACATATCCTAGAGATTTATAAAGCTTAGAGATTTCTGAAAATAAATATGATTTAAAAACAACTTTTTCCTTTTAAAATTTCCTTAAAAAGTTTTTGCCTTTATTAATGAATTATTAATAAAAAACGTTAACCAATTGTAAAGTATGTAAATCTGTTGTACAAGGATACGTTTTGCTTCAACATATTTCTTTTATAATTTATTCCATTCTATATAACATATACTGTAGCATAGCTTAAAAACAATTCGATAATGTTACATGAAGAATCATTATATTTTGATATGCTAATGATTAATATGATTATCATTATTATGAATTTTATAATATTCATTCATCAATTAAAATCAATTATGATAAACCAAACAAGAAAAGAAATAACCAAATATAATATAGAAATATATAATATAATAAAGAAACAAATGTAAGAAAAAATATTGAAAATATTTAAGTAAGGGCTTTGTTATAAATTAATAAACAAGTAGTTTAATTAGATAGTTTATTATGTGCGCGCCGGTATAGAAATATTATACAAATTCGAAGACGATTCGAATAGATTACGAAAACATTAGGTCTACGGTGTTCTCCCTTTTGAAATATACATTACAAAAGGAACAATGGTAGAACGATTGTATACAAACATTTAAACAAATCATCACTAAAACGAACCACTAATTAGCGACAACGAGGGTAGAAGCAGGAAGAAGGGAAGGATTAGTGAAGATATTTACAATTCAATGCGTTTCTTCTGTGTTCGCATGAAATTTCGCACACTTTGGTATTAATTGAATGTACATACCTGCGTTTATAATATGATTTGTTCCAACATAATTCGGGAGATAATGTGCTATCATCAATATTATTTGTATTTTTTATGTTTTTTTAAATCCTTTATATGTGACTCGGCTATTCGTGTATTCGACATTATGAATTAGCTGCGCCTGACGGTACATTGTGATTCGAAGTTTATACTGGACAATTATATTTACAATGTGAAATGGTCGTTCACTTTCTTGTTCACAACGATGCAGTCAAGAACAGAGTTGGATATTTTTTTATTCTTTATCGTAATAAAACAAGTAATTTATATTTTTGATATGATAAATATTAAGATTAATTTTAAATCTTATTATTGGAGATCTGATGTAATTGAAAATAATTAATTAATATAATTGATAAATAATATAATAATAATTAATGAATTATTAAGTTTAAGATAAATAAATTACATTATCTTTAAAATTATGAGAAACAGCAAAAGATATTAAAGTTTAATCATCTTTATTATTTATTAGAGACGAATTCTTTCAGATGATAATTTTTCAAGACGCGTGTTCGTACATATATACGAAAAATAATTTTGAAAACGATAAAACAAATTCTATAAATCTTATTTATAAGTAATTAAAAAAATTTGCATTCAATTACATTCAGACTATGTCTCATATCTCAATTGCTTTTTGCATTTAAAACATGCAAAATAATTTTCTAGATTTATTTTATAATTTTTTTTTCACAATTTGTGATAATTTCAAATTTTTATAATAATGTTAATAAATATAATTAGAATTACTAGAATTATTAAAAAATATATATATATATATATATATATATTAAAATAAAATTAATAATTAAATAAATTAATAA